CGCTCAGCCTTCGCGGTGCTGCCTTGAGCTGCTCTTGGTAACTGGGGTCTCGCCGAAGTGTCCGGAAAGGCATTAGAGCAGGTCACCTTCAAGACAGCTGGTGCCTTCTTTTGGCAAATCATCTTTACTTAATCCTACCCAGAGTAAAGTCATAGAATCATAGAATGGTTTGGGTGGGAAGGGACCTTAAAGATCATCCAGTACCAACCCCCCTGCCATGGGCAGGGACACCTTCCACTAGCCCAGGTTGTTCCAAGCCTCATCCAGCCTGGCCTTGGACACTTCCAGGGATGGGGCATCCACAGCTTCTCTGGGCAACCTGTCCCAGTGCCTCCCCACCCTCTCCGGGAAGAACTTCTTCCTGATATCTAATCTAAACCTCCCTGTCTTCAATGTAAACCCATTACCCCTTGTCCTGTCACTACAGGCCCTTGTAAAACATCCCCCCCAGCTTCCTTGTAGCCCCTTCAGGTACTGGAAGGTGCTATAAGGTCTCCCCGGAGCCTCCTCTTCTCCAGGCTGAACAAGCCCAGTTCTTGCAGCCTTTCATCATAGCAGAGGTGCTCCAGCCCTCTGATCATCTTTGTGGCCTCCTCTGGACTCGCTCTAACTGGTCGATATCCTTCTGATGTTGGGGGCCCCAGAGCTGGACGCAGCACTCCAGGTGGGGTCTCAGTCATAGCTGCAGTGTAAAAAATCTTCTCAAATCCTTCAGCATCTGCTGCTTGATACAGATGTTTTTGGCTACTGCAGTTAATGTTGCTGATTGCCTCTAGCTCAGTGCTGTGAAAACTGCCTGATCTGCTCACATAGGGTTGCTTGCAGAGGTGCGATGGAGTAGTTTGAAGAGGGGGAAGGCTGCGGGCTGAACTCTTCTTCTCCGTATAGCCAAGTCTGTTTCAAGAACAGAGGGATTTGCAGAATTTGTTCAGTGCTGCTTTTTGATGGCAGATCTGAAGGTGCTGTGGAATGTAATTGTGGCAGAGAGCGAATGATAGTGCGAGGTTGCTTCTAGCGCCGGTGGTGACTGCTGCCCTGTCTCTTTAGGTTGGCCGCCCTACCAGAGAAACCCCCGGCCATCGACTGGGCTTACTACAAGGCTGCTGTTGCTAAAGCTGGCATGGTGGATGAGTTTCAGAAGAAGGTCGGTATCTTTGCCAGCTGAGTGATGCTCTTTGGAGTTTTAAATGGGGAATGTCTTTGGTGTTGAGAGGAAAACGCCAGAATTGGCAGAGGGCGTTGGTTTTGGCTAGCGGGTGCCCCAGCTTTACATCCTGCAGATCAGTGTTGCTAACCTCAAGGATCATTAGAATCACAGGCTGGGTTGGGGTGGGAGGGGCCTTTAATACCACCTATATA